TAATTTAAGTAGAATAAAGACATTCTCGTGTTTTTATAGTAAATTGTCTTGCGAAAATTCTGAAATAAATTGGACAGTACCCAAGGAAGTCAAAAATGAGAAAACATTTAAACAGTACTAATAGTGTCTTATGTAATATTTTGTCAATCGTAATTGTTAATTAAAGTTAAGTTATTTTATTTATTAAGCTATTGCATAGATTTTATCGCGGGCTTTGAGCGCGGCGACCGAATCAAGAAATTCCGTAACGAAAAAACCTAACACACGATGACGTAATATATGTATACTGCGCATTCCCATCTCTCTGACGAGATCGGTGACGTAGCGTGAGCGCGGCCGGTGCAGCCGATACGCGTTAGAGTGAGACAGACTATATAGGCGTTTTAGTCTGAGTCTGGTAGAGTGGTAGATTGAAATATTATCAAAGAAAAAACTTGAATTAATATCAAAGAAAAACAAATACTGCATAAATCAAAAATAAATAAATAATATAATTGCATAAGTTGATAAAAAATGCTATGCAATAGCTTTACCGCGGCAGTCCCCGAGTGCCACACGTTTTTTTAAAAACCCGATCACTGGGATAATCCTTAAAGAACGAAAGCTCCATTACGCATTATCAATTACGCAACATGCCCTTGTTCAACCATTATTCTTTAATTGAGGTCATATTAAATGTTTAATATCGTTTATCGATTGGGTTCTGTTTAAGATAAATAAAATAACTGAAGTTATGTAATTTATTAGTTTATACATATACATAGTCGGTCCCAAAGTTCTGTCATAAATGGAAATAATGATAAAAACAAAAGTACTGATCAGTTTGTAATGAGTGATATATCAATTCTTAGTACATTAATTAAGGAATAAAAATAAAAATATTCGAAATAACCTCCCTCATTTTTAATACAGGCCCTTAAGCGTCGCGGCCAGTCGTCTATCGCAGCACGCACCATATTCGTGTCGATTTCAGTCACTGGTTTTTTAAAGATGACTTCAGATTCTCCAAATTTTCATGAGGTTTATCACAGACCTTCCTCTCTAAGCCCTGTCATAATTTCTGGTCCAAAGGATTAAGGTCGGACTGGAGGAAGGCCAATCCTCATGTCTAATTAAGACGATGTTTTGACGCTCAAACCAGGCTTTAGTGGTCTTGGCTTTGTATGCAGACGCAGAGTCCTGCTGGAACACGAAGTGATGTCCCGCAAATAGGGTGCTGGACATGTCTTTGACAAGGCGATACAAAACCGTCTCTTGGTACACTGTAGCACTGGTTTTGACCCCCTTTTCGAAAAAATTAACCTCAGTTAGCCCGTAATAGGACACTCCCAACCAAACCATTACTGATGATGGATGATGTCCCTTTGAACTTTATTTTCAGCTTCTTCAGAACTCCTAGCGTACACTGTATAATTCTGTTTATTGTACTTCTCTTCAATATCGAAAAATTTTTCGTCCGTAAAGAGGATATCACGGTGTCGGTTTTTCGCGTACCGCTTAAACAACACCCGCGATCTCTTAAGCCTTATTGCTTTTAGACGAGCATTAAGTAAGTGCCCACTCTTTTTTGTATGCTCGTAGACCAAGATCTTCATTTAAAACCTTTTTACTGTTTTCCTACTGACACCCATCTGCAAATCCATCAACTTCTGTTTTCGGACAGGATTTCTTACTATCCGCGCCTTGATAGCTTTGATTACTGCTGGTGTTCTTGCGGAGCGTGGCCAGCCAGTTCTTTTCTTGTCCTCAACACTGGAGACTTCAAGGTACCTATCAATAGTACCGTACACAAACCTAAGCGTTATATTCAAATTTTTGAGCAACTTGAAAATGGTACTCGGCGAGTGTCCACAGCGGTGCAACGCAATAACAACCATTCGGTTTACTTTCAATGTCCACTCCATCGTGAAAAATTACGGAAAGTTATTGTTTTTGTTTTAAAACAATAATCAAACATTCAAAATAGAATGCAATAATTTTTTTATAAAATCCTGCTCGAAATGTAGAAATAATGTGCTAGTGACAGAACTTTGGGACCAACTACGTACATATTTAGTTAATTATAAAACCAAACCAAATAGCATCGCACACTTGAAGCCAAAAAGCCCTTTAGTTTTTCCCACACACATAAATTGTAATATAAAAATTCAAAAATCATTTAATCATATAGGTAACACGTTGTACTCTTATGACTTGTCAGTAAAGAAATACATATAAATGCTTCTAATTTTACATTTAGTGCCAGTTCTCAAATCAAGGGCGTAGAACGGAAGAGAAGAACTGGCAATAAACTCTCCGCCACTCTTTTCAATCGCCAAGTTTTTTTACTCAACGTTTGTAAGGAGCTGCAACCATTAAACCATGTTCCACATGACATCTTAAGTAATTAATAATAATAACATAAATTCATATTTATTATTATTCTCTTACATTAAGTGTAACATAAATTCTATTATTTTTCGAATGTTGTTTTTAAATTATGTCCAATGTCGTAGCATCTTCCGTGGGCAACTTCATTCTGTCAATTTTGTGTCACGGTGCGCGCGCATCGTAAAATTTTACTCTCATCAATTTTTCATAACGCGCCTAAAGAAGTATAACTTCAAAAATTAAATTTATAATTTGTATTAATTTTCTAAACTTTTAATATTTTAATGACAGTTAAATTCATTAAATTCCTAACATATCTTTCTTTTTCCCTTCCTCTAAGTCTCGGAAATTAAAGTTTTAGATTTGTATAAATATGAACAAGACTTTGTACACACGCACTTTTTTCTTTTTCATGTGTCCGCCAGTTGCCCTCCTTTTTATTTACGTCAATTGTTTTATATTTCTGTATGCATGAAGTATTAATTAATAAAACTAAAATAAATAAAACGTAATATTAATTATATTTTTAATATCATCTAATACAGTCACATGAATAGGTACTTTTATAAATAATCCCCCGCCTTATAACTAATTTTATTTATCACATATTTACGTAGAATACATAACTCTGTAAAATATATCTTATATAACACGATATATATGTCACCGTAAAATTGTAAACACCGTTAGATTGTAATCTATCTCGCGAGATTGTGAACTGTCGAAAGATTGTGAATTCAACGTACTGCTTACAATTTAACGTATTATTATTCGGTAGATTGTAATCTATCGAAGTGAAACCGTCAAATTGTGAAACGGATCGCACTTCGCGCGCTGATTGGTTGAACGGAATATGCCCCGCGCCACCATATGTGTTTGTTGTCGAATGTAAATCGTTGTCGTGTTGAAAGTAACTCACAGCTTTAGAATTAGTTATATGAAATTGTTGGTAAGAACCAAAGAAGTTTGAATGATAATCTCGCGAGATAGATTACAATCTAACGGTGTTTACAATTTTACGGTGACATACACATTCTAAAACTTTTAGTAGCGGTTCCGTTTTTACCATAACAAGTGCACTGAAAAGTTCGTAGGCTGACATAGAAACAACCTAATTGATAGCATTTGATTTGATTATTGAATATGCATTCGAGAGTGACACAATAGCTGTCATGCAATATTTGGAGTGAAACTTCTAATGCGACTTCTAACAATGTTGCGTTAAACGTTTAACCCTCCTGGGGAGGGGGAATAGAAAGAGACAGAGCGAGAGTGAATGCGTGGCACTCGAACGCATGCGCGTAGTCTACCTATTACAGGCCAGCGCGAGCGTTATCAACGAATAGCGTCCAATATTCAGCGCCAGAGGGAGAGAGGAAGAAAGATACACAAAGGTAGAAAGTAGGAGAGAGAAAGAGAGTCATAATCCAATTGTAAATGTTATAGATTTGGATATTTCTCCACTTGAAAATAATAAATAAAAGATGCCATCAATTGTGAATTGTAAGCGTAACATCGCTTACAATTCAAAGTTTGTCTTAAAGAAACAATATTATTTCAGTATAAATCAACTTCTACACCTTCCTATTTTCCTTTTCACATTACGAAGTTTCACTTCTTCCCCGCGGAGGGACTCCACGCACTATTTTTTATTCGACACCGTTTATTATACAATTTGTCTTCCTAAACATAGGTAGGTAGGTCGAATACCTTGTCATCAGCCCAAAACTTCTGTCCAGCGAGCATTCTCTGGTCCGAGGACAGGAAAAGTCGCTGGAGGCAAGGTCTGGATACGTTGGAATAAAGTCGTATTTGCTATTTATTTTTTAAACAAACCAAAGTTCCTTGAAAATATGATCTAAGAAAGTAATTAAAACGACAGTTAGTATTGTCTTTTATTGACATAACTTTTACCGACGTTTCGCGTGCTTTACTGCGTGCGTCATGGTGACGAACGTCGGTTAAATTTAAAATTATGTAAAATAATTGTAGATTTATAATAATACATAACTTCAATCCGGTAAAAAAGTGATTTTCTAAAACGACAGTTGTCAAATTTATTCACGTGTATTTTAAAGGGCTAACTAAAAATCATATTAATTTAATAGGGTACGAACTTTTCATCTTACCTCATGTCCGTAGCTTTGTCCCGGTCCTCAGATATTTAACGAAACATTACTACCGCTACGAAAAGTGTAACTAAAACAACGATTTATATAAAGATATATATGTTTACTAACATATAAACTACTGTCTCATGTTGGAGCGTATACAGAATAAATTTACGCGTTTTGTATTTATCTTAGTGATGGTACCCCAATAAGCTAGAAACAAGACGAGACAGTTGGCCTATCTACTTAAAGCCTTGTGGTGAACAACACAAGTTAATCAAGAACTGGGTTTCATTGTACCTATGTATGTGCGAAGGCAATAAGTTTGCGATACCAAAGGCAAGAATCTGTTGCACATATCCCCTTAAAGACGTTGTCTACTGTAAGCTGTCTCTCACACTATTATCTGACGTGAGTTCGCAGAGTGAGTTCACATCGATATTGTGTATCTTATGTATTCAATATTATATATTTTTCGACATTATCGTATTGGCGTAATAAATAAATATAATAGAAGGACTACAACTCAGTCTTGCTTAATCTCTTGGAACCCCACAAATCCGTCCCATCCCCCGTTCTCTCCGCCCGCTTCATCACCACTTCCTTCGGCACCGTCTTCAGGTCATATGCCCATCCGATTTTCGCAAATAAATCTATAAACAGCGTCGTCCAATTAAGGACGTTGTTCCCCAGTTCAGCAGCTCTGTAATCCCATGGGTACGTGTGGTGGTAGTTGTGGAAGCCCTCGCCCAGTGCCACGACGCTGACAATCTCGTTTTGCGTCGGTTGGATGTTCTTGTCGTATGGCTTGTAGCCCCACAGATGGGCGAGACTGTTGATTGTGAAGGTCGCGTGAAGGTTGCAGGCGTAGCGGAGGAAGCAGAAGTGCCAGGCGACGTTGAAGCTCTCGCCCCAGAAGTAAACCGGGATTATTGTTGGTAGAACGAAACCCACGAGTCCGATAAATGGGATGGCGTATCTGTAAAAAGGTGTCACCTGTATCCAGTGGCGTAACAATAGAGTGGTAGTGCAGGTAAAATGCCACTGGCCCCCGACCCAAGAGGGCCCCTGCCCAAGAGATATTATGTTCTATGGATAAATGTGAAGTCTTCAATACGCATTGGGCTAGCGTGGGGACTACAGACCATTCTCTCTCGCCTAAGAGAGGAGGCCAATGGCCCTTAGTGGGACATATGCACCGTGTAATTGAGTACTCTGAAAATCTCGAAGCTTATTAGAATTAAACTGAGTTGGGACAATTTTTACTGATAGGGCCCCATTAAAAGAATTCGCCACGTACCCCAGATGGTATAGTTACGTTACTGCCTGTATCAGTATCAAACATATTTTTTTGTAAAACATAGTAACTATCTAAATTTTAATTTATTATGTACTAGCCGTTTCGCGCCCGCTTTGCTGGACGAATTAAAATAAATTTTATGTTTCATTATTTTATTTTTTTTCATATTTTTATTATTCTTCTTTTTAACTTCCCGCTAAGAAAATTGAAATATTTCGAAAATCGAGTTTTTAACAGATGTTGACGTTTAGAGGTTCTAGGAAGCCTCCCCGAATGTTTCCGCGGTGAAGTCCGTATGGATAAATTTTCATAAAAGTAAAACAGCAATAAAAAAATGAAGGAACGTTGGAATTTAAAAAATTTCGCATCGAATGGTGGTAGTTTCATGTCGATACGATCAGTGGTTTAGGCGTGAAGGAGCCTCAAACGAAGACCATTTTTCTTTTATATATATAGATTGCGATGATTCGTTGCGCAAAGCACCGTCTTTATTACCTTGCCTACACTTGAACCCCACGGCCCAATACTTTTCCAAACAAAATCAAAGTTGGTAGGAAATACTTATATATCTATCTGTATCTACATAAAGCCTTGTGGTGTTGAACAACGCAAGTTAATCAAGAATTCGGTTTCTGTGTACCTAGGGGATATGTGCGAAGGCAAGTGTTTGCGATACCAAGGGCAAGAATCTGTTGCACAAATCCCCGTTAAAGACTTTGCCTACAGATTGCTGTCTCCGGGTTTTGACATATATTTATATGTTCGCAGAGTTCACAGCGATATTGTGTATCTTATGTATTCAATATTATATATTTATCGACATTATCGTATTGGCTTAGTATTGTAATAGTGGTTTTTATATTTTCCGCCTGTTTTTCTAATCCCGTACCTGATAGCTCCTTTTTGGAACCGTACTAATTTATAATCACGGGTTCATTTACTCAGATTACCTCTTTTGAAACTGTAGCACAGCGTTAGTGTTAAGATCGCTGAAGTCCACGAATTTGCCTCGTCGTGCGACCTCTGGGTGCTTCTTGACGATCAGCCATCCGACGTGACAATAGAAGAACCCACGAGTGGAGTTGTGAGGGTCTGCATCTGTGTCTGCATACCTGTGGACAAATATTTTATTTTATTTTGATGATGAGAATATAAAAAAATGTGCGTGCGTACAAAGTACACATGTCAGAAGTGAAACTTCTTTGTAAATTAATTATTACTGAGGTAAAAGCCCCAATAGATGATCATGTACCAGTATATGATCACTCCATGTATTTGTGTATCTATATTCCTACTGTTTACACACTGTATACGTGCTAATGATAATATAAATAAATAGAAAATCTGCGTTCACTGCACAAGACGTTATGCGACAGAATTGCCATCTAAAGTTCTAATATGTAACTACTAAACGAATACATCAATCAATAGCGTGTATTTTTTCTCGATCTCCCTTCGCTCTCTCTCAATCTTTCTCACTATAGCTCTCTCCCACCTCTAACTCCATGGCTTCATGGAACGTTCGCCCTTTCTCACTCTCTCTCAATCGGTCTCAATCGCTCTCTGCCTTTTCTTCGACAAAAACGCTGCAGATCTTCGTGACGCTTGTATTATTAGTTTTGCGTTTCATCCGTAAAAATTTTACCCTCATGCGCCTAAAGAAGTTTCACTTCCAAATCAGTGGCGCTACAACCTTTTTAGGTGTGGGCCTCAGATTTCTGTATCTGTTTCATGATCATTTGTCAATCTAATAGGCAAGTAAGTAATCAGCCTCTTGTGCCTGACACACGCCGTCGAGTTTTTGGGTCTTAGTTCACCAGGAATATTTATTTCGACCTTAAGGGACCAGTCCTGAAGGTCCTACTGGCTCTGAGCAACTTATAAAATATAGTAAAATTATATAATATGTATAGGGGACCTGGTGAATATAAATTAGATCCCCAGATCTTTATTATGCCACTACGTGGAACCAGCTGCCCACTGAAGTATTTCCGAATCAATTTGAATTAAGGTCCTTCAAAAGAGCGTACCAATTCTTAAAAGTCCGGCAACGCACTCGCAAGCCTTCTGGCAATGAGTGTCCATGAGCGGTAGGTATTTTGGAACCAATTCAACTTACGGTCCTTGAAAAGAGCGTACCAATTCTAAAAAGGCCGGCAACGCACTCACGAGCCCTCTGGCATTGTTTCCATGGGCGGCAGTATCACTTAACATCAGATGAGCCTCCTTCCCGTTTAGCCCCATTTTTTAATGAATGTTCCACTTACCTGTGATGGAGGCGGTGGTCCCTTGCCCAGTTATAAGCTGTGTACTGGTAGGACAACGAATGCATAACCATTAGAAGAATCTGCAGAGGAGTTGTTGCTTTGAATGATCTGTGGGACCATAGTCTATGAGCGCCTGCGCATACGCCGATTTGTGCCAAGACATATAAAACGTATGCTGTAAAAATATAATAATGGCTCAAATATGAGTCTGTCCTCCATTGGAGTGGAGACTCTTGGGCCGTGGGGTTGGTACTACCGGTGAACCCAGAGCTGGTGCTTTCCTCAACGAATAAGTATCGCAATACAACTAGTAAATGCCAGCAATACGCACACTGCCACAGGGACCAAACTTTTTAAAATTGTTTTAATTTTCTTTTTAATAATTATTAATAAGGTTAAGAATAGACTTAGTTTGGCTAGGGTTAAAAAAATTCGCTCACTAACTGATGTCGATACAGCTAGACTTGTTTATTTTAGTTACTTTCATAGCTTAATGACTTATGGCTTATTATTATGGGGTCATGCTGCTGATGTCGAAACTATTTTCATCCTGCAGAAGAGGGCTATTCGTGCAATCTATAATTTAAAATGTAGGGAATCTCTTAGAGATAAATTCAAGGGGGAAATTAATATACTTACCTTTCCCTTCGCAATATATTTATGAAAATATTATGTATGTATACAAAAATAGTGATAAGTTTACTAGAATAGAACATACGCACAATGTTAATACACGGAACAAACGCAGGCTGCAATTTCCCCGTACTAGACTATCTAAAGTTAGTAATTCTTTTTTGGGGAAAGGGATACTCTTCTTTAATAAAATCCCAGAGGCTCTTTTATCACTGCCTTTCAATAAATTTAAAAAATGTATTAAGGAAGGAAAAGCTGTGTAAAAAGGCTATACTATAAAGTTCAACGATTATCTAGTTGATAAAAAGGGCCTGGGACTAGTGCTAGACAGGCTACTTCTAATCAATTTGCGATATTTGTTTTAAATAAGTGTTGTTTGATGATTTGCTGTTTTAAAAGAGTACCGAGAGTTTTTTACGCCGGCTTTTCTCTGGCCTACACCCTCTGTCTTCTTTGCCGATGAGTAGGGATGCCTTCAAATTTAATGACGTGGAATAAGTGATACATGTATCTTAGTTCAAATAAACATATTTTATTTATTTATTTTATTTTTAAATAGTGTAAATACTGTATATTGGTGTGTTTGAAATAAATTATTGCAGACTCATTCCTCGTAACCGTATATAAATATGTGTGTGTGTAAGGCACAGTAGAATGGTACAGAATAAGAACAGAGCAATGGCGAAATTTAGAAGAGGCCTATGTCGTGAGATATCCTGATTAGTGGTATTTAATTTTTTATTTATTTATAGCCTTATATCAGAATACAAAATATATACATTATAACTGTTATTTTCCTTAATCTATGATAACTGATTCTGTGTGCCTACGGGCAAAGGGCTCCCCCATTGTCCTCCATTTTTCCTTATTGTAAACCAATCTCGTCCAGGTCTTAGTCTTTCCTGCCATTTCCACGATTTCATCGGCCCACCTCTTAAATTGCCTACCTCTGTTTCTTTTATGGCCTCTTGGTTGCCATAGTGTTAAAATTTAATTTAAAATCTAATAAATAGCCTAGACTCAAGACTCTACAGTAATATTACAGTAGTAGCATTGCTGGCCTAGTCTCTTATATCAGCCCTGCGATTCTGTAACTCACACTCTGATAAACTTAACTACAAGCTCCCACCTTTTCAGAATGCCAAATCATAAAATGAGTGCTTCACGACTGATTTGAGAGCGACCGCCGATGCGAAAACCGCTCTGTGAGTTCGAAAAGTGTGTCACAGAATCGCAGGGCTGAGGTTGTGGATTCAATCTCCGGCTGTCTATGTGCGCATTCAACATTCGCTCGAACGGAAAATATCATGATGAAACCGGCTGTAGGACCCAAAAAGGCGACATATGTCAGGCAGAGCTACGTGCCTATTAGATGGATAAATAATGAAACTGATACAGAAATCTGAGGCCCTAACCTAAAAAGGTTTTAGCACCCCTGACTCATTTATTTATTTATACTAGACGACCCGCCCCGGCTTCGCACGGGTGCAATGCTGATACTAAATTCAAAGTGCTATAGAGTATAGAGAGACGCGTTGCGTCCCGCAATTTATAATTTTAAAAATCTTCGAAAAGATTTATTTAAATCATAGACTGTAAAGGGCCATATAGATCTATATATATCAAATTATTTAAGTTATTTAATTGGATAAGGATTAATGCTGTATTGGTTAAAATCGCTTCGAAAATTAGCCATTATTTGTCGTAAAAAGTAAATGACAAAAAAAAGTTATTGTGGGTTATCCATAAGAGATAGACATATACCATCACGGACTTTTCTGTAGACCTTTTCAATGTGTACAATACTTAGTACATTATTTTGATAAATCTCGTAGGGTTCAGCCTGCGTTTGCAATGTAAGCGGAAAAAATGTAATTATTTACGACATCACATTAGAAACCTCAAAAATAACAGTTTTTCTCCAGTATTTAATGGATTTTATTATACATATAAACCTTCCTCTTCAATCACTCTATCTATTTAAAAAACCGCATCAAAATCCGTTCCGTAGTTTTAAAGATTTAAGCATACATAGGGATAGAGAAAGCGACTTTGTTTTATACTATGTTGTGATGAACAGAAGTTTCTTTTCTCTAAGAACTCTTCTTTCTCTTCTCTAAGAACCCTAAACCTGAAAATAAACTTTAGAAACTTACTGAATAATATAGTTGACCAATACGCTCTCGTCCACCCCAAGTATAAAGCGTACGCTGAAGCGGAATGCACATAAATCAGTGACATCGTCACAGAATAAATTAGCTCATATTTCCTGGGCCCAGCTTGTGGAGCTACCAATTTCTCTAGATTCTCCTCCGACGATTCCAATCCAATTTCTTCTGATATGTTCGGAGCCATGTTTTATCTGAAATCAATGGTTTGTTTCTTAGGTGGTGTGTTTAAGGCCGGAACTAGGGTTCAAGTTTTATTGCTGATTTCGAAATCCCACAACCACCAGTGGCGGATTTACCAGCAGGCTGGGTAAAAAAAAAAGATTTGGGAACCCAAGGATTAGGATCATTTAAATATTCGTCAAATTTATAAAAAGCTTTATTACTATATATATACTATATAATATAATAGCTTTATATATATATATATACTTCGCGAATATAACAGATTATACACTACATGATACATCTCCTCATTTATTATATTTATATTTGCTAGTAATTTTTATTGCATTTAATTTTTTTTGTAACTTTTATGGTAACCATAATGGTCATGTATTGTAGAAAAGATAGCTTCTAACATACTGAAGATATAGCATTATATATATGGTGTGGCGAACTTTAATAAAATAATAAAATAATGTCCAATCGGTTAGTTCAAAAAAATGAATAGAGAATTATGATTAAAACTATTTTGTTGGAATAGATTATTTTGTCTTTTTATATATTTTATCGATATATTCAAGACCGCTTTACCGATATAGAAAATTATTAATAATTTGCTGGGGCAGATCGGGCGGAAAATAATAAACGGCTAATATAACAGTCTTTCCTCCAACTTCGATTTTGTGGCCGTTGGAGTAGATTCTTGGGCCGTGGGGTTCAAGTACACAGCTAATTAAAGAGTTAAGTTGGCGCCTGGTACTACTGGTGACCCCAGAAGTGCACAGACGCTAATTAAAGATTTGAGTTGGCGCCTTGTGACTCTAGAGCAGGTGCTTTCCTTAACGAATAAGTATCGCAATACAGCGAAGAAATTTTGCCAGCGTTAAGGGTACACTGCCACAGGGACCCGAATTTTTAAAATTTTTATTTATTAATTATTAATTTTATAAAATAAATAAAAATATTTATTCACTGATTCAGCAGTGTTGGCCTAGTGGCTTGGATGGGCTCTCATGCCTGAATCACAGATTGCCTTTGACCCAAATATTCTGGCTCGGAAAGCGGGTTATATACCTAACGTGACCAGATCAGACCAGACCAGACCAGAAAGACTGTCCCTTTTTCCAATTACGAGTCCCGAAGTATTTCAAATAATTTCAAATAAGTTTCATTCTTATTTGAAATCATCCCCGGCAATATTAAAACAAATTTGTTCTTCTTTTTTTTTTTTTTTTTAAGACACTTCACACTAATTGACCTAGTCCCATGCTAAGCTGGTGAAGCTTGTGTTATGGGTACTAGGTAACGGATATACATACATATTATAGATAGATAAACGTATAAATACATATTTAAACACCCAAGACCTAAGCACAACACCAAATGCTCATCACATCGATGTTCGTCTCAGCCGGGGATCGAACCCGGGACCCATGGATTCGCAGTCAGGGGTACTAACCACTAGACCAATGAGTCGTCCAACTTGAGTCGTCTTCTGATAAATATAACCAAATATTTTGGGTACCTATATTTTGTGATTCGTAACTTTTAAGCCAACTAACTTTTTCTAAATAAATAAAGGGTTTTTTTTTTTCATTACTTATTATTTCACCTAAATTAAACTAAAATTATAATAATAATATAACTATAAATAATAAATGGTCGCTTTAGTTATACCTAGTAAAGAAAATCACGAAACATATACTAAAATCTAAGTTAAACAAGGGTTTTATTTATTCACTTATCCTAATTAACAAAATCAGAACAAGGATGTAAGAAATGTGTTATAACAACATTCTCAATTATCTCATTATAAGACGATTTTAATGGCACCAAAAAATATAAAACCTATATCGAACGGAAAGGGAATTATTTCCATTACAATTGTTTTATTCAAGGACAAATTACCAGTATCATTCCGTTTGTGATAAAACCTTTTTGTTAACAAAAAAAAAGAAAACACGTATTTACATCCTATTTCTTGGGTTTTACCGCGATGATGAATTTTTATATAGTTTCCTACAAATAATTGTATTTAAATTGCAATTACTACAAATAAAACGAAAAACTAACATGAATTTTTCTTAAGTGGTAGTCTAATAGTCTTCTACTGTTTACGCAAATTGTAGATAAAAAATAAATCAAAAAACAACCTTTTTAGGTATGGGCCTCAGATTTCTGTATCTGTTTCATGATCATTTGTCAATCTAATAGACAAGGTGATCAGCCTCCCGTGCCTGACTGCGTCGACTTTCGGGTGTAAGGCAAGCCGGTTTCCTCACGATGTTTTCCTTCGTACGAGCGAATGTATATGTTTAATTGCGCTGAGAAAGTCCAGTGGTGCCGGGAAACCTACGACCTCAGGGATGACAGTCGCAAGGCCTCCTGTATCGGACACACTCCTCACGGTTTTCTCTCGATGTTTCCTTTCTCCGTTCAAGCGAATGTCGAATGCGATCGAACCTAGGACCTCAAGGATGAGGGTCGCACGCTGAAGCCACTAGGCCAACACTGCTCAAATTGCAAAATGTAGTTGCTAAGCGCAAGACGGCGTAACGTTTATTTATTCTCTGAAGTCTGAGGACGGTTCTTGCAGAGAAAACTTGGCAAAAATTGCAATGGAAAAGCGGACAGTCTCTGTGGGGGCATATCAAAATGTTCCATAATAATTATTATTTATTTATTGCAAGAATATGGTACAAAAATGTAGGTGGTACAATCGTAAGTTAGCATATTCTGTCACACACAATGGCGCGCAAATTTGTCTTAAGGAATTTTACATTTTACATTATTAGTCATATGAATTGGTCAGTTCTTATATTATTTGTATCGTACATATCATATCATACGTTATTAATATATCAACAACAATTTCTCACGCAAATAATCATTTAAAAACTCTAGTCGGAAGATCTTTTAATTCTTTTGGTAAATTATTGTAAACCATAATTGCCATACAAATTGTTTTTCCTATACAACTCCAGATTATTTTTAGGCACAGCCAATTTCTCTCCATGTCTACTTCGACAGATGTTCATTCCCGTTGACTTAAGAATATGTATGTTCTTGTGCACACATTAGAACATTTCTAAAATATCCATACAGGGAAGAGATAACATTTTGAGCTTCTTAAATAAAGGTACATATGTTGGTATGTACTAAATAGGTTGGCTACTCAAAATCATATTAAGGAGAAACGAGGTTGCGACTATTTAATGGATTGACAGTGATTCCCAAGGTCTGCAAAAACCAACCTAGGAGTTTAGGCACGTCTCTTTCGGATTCTTTGGGATTATAAAGGATTAAACAGTACTTATATATATATAAATTCGGTCTGTTTGGATATATTCGGTCGGCTGATCAATTTTAATTAAAGCATTGTTGTGCCTGTCTAATCCGTTGTTTTGCTGATAATTGTTTTTGTTGTCTAACAAAAATTTATCGTATTTTTATTTTATTTATTTATTCACACATCGTTATTTTTTTACAAAACAAATAACATAACATAAAAATTATAAGGGATGTAACGCGCGGCCTTATCGCTAACCAGCGATCTCTTCCAGGCAACCCTAGTAAGGGAAAAAACGTGTGTGTACTTCACTGGTAACAAGATAAAAGTCTTTTCAATAATTTTATTCTGTTTGTAGAAAAAATCGCAATATTTCGATATTTCATGCTGAAAAACCATAGATTTATTAAAAAACAAGTTTGATGCAGAATGTCACATCTCTAATAACCAATAGAAAATGTAGAGTTCATCAATCAATTATTTGCCAAATTTAAATATGTTATGGCGTGTTATTTGCCCATTTGTATGGAAAATAAAAATAAATGTATCTCATGAACCGTAAGTTACCGCAACTTAAAACTTTGCAAAACGCTTTCTTTTAGTGAGTACTATCTACAAAAAAAATATGGGCATTCAAATCGATGGTCCATATTGCAAAGTTAAGCCCCGTAATTTGTTCAGTAATAATATAATATGTTGTGCAATTTAGGAATACATGTAAACAACTTGACATTTGACTACATGTTGACAGGCGTCATAGCGACGCCATCTTGTTTAGAGAAGCGTTCTGACAAGTTCTTAAAATTATGAATGTTTAATGCTTTTTAATAACAATTTGTATAGATTTTAAAGTCACTAATAAATCAAAAGGTTTTTAAATCTTTTCGAAGGAACGAGGATGTATTGTAAATTCACAAACATTTAATGTATGACTGCCAAGTTTTACAGGGGACTCTTGATAATGTGATTGTTTTTCCCGTCCCTTGTTAATTGGTTAAAAAAGATGTTAATTGGTCCCCTCGGTAATTTAAAGTAGAAGGTATAGTTGGACGCCAACATGCGATATTAAAAGAGTGGCGGAGAGTTTATTGCCAGTTCTTCTCTTCCGTTCTACGTCCTTGATTTGAGAACTGGCAGTTAATGTAAAATTCGAAGCATTTTGTTAATTATTTATTTTTTGACGTTCATAAGTGTACAATGCGTTGTACCTATATGAATAAAAGATTTTTGACTTTTGACTAATTTGAAGTCCGGGCTTCCCTATTATCTATAATTTGAAGTGTTTATCATGCATAGATCTGTCAAGTATTTGATAATTTAAAATAGGTAATTTAAAAATTTTATCTTGTCCCGAGAGTTTCAAATTATAGAGAGTTTTTTATTACATAAATACACAATATGCAGTCATATTTATTGTGTATATATGTAATGAATGAATGATGAAGACAATTAAAAATATTGACAACTGTTTTAATAGCAACGTCATATGTACTGATGCGTCGCCATTTTGACTAAAAAGTAAAAGTTTTTTGGCGGGATTTTTAAATGTTTATTTTGAATTTTTAGACAACGCAATTAAAAAATTGTGGTCTATATTATAATAATAAATGATCTGTTTCGCACGCAGTAAGGCATAGTTAATGTTTAACTTGTTTATTTAATAATCTTAAGTAGCTAATTTGTTTATTACATGTGAACCTTCTATTAGCTTCATATATTGTTTCTTATTACCT